GGGTGGCCGAGTGGTTCATCAAGACGCTGGGTGGCCAAGTGGTTCATCAAGACGCTGGGTGGCCGAGTGGTTCATCAAGGCGCTGGGTGGCCGAGTGGTTCATCAAGACGCTGGGTGGCCGAGTGGTTCATCAAGACGCTGGATGGCCGAGTGGTTCATCAAGACGCTGGGTGGCCGAGTGGTTCAGAAGATCCCAGCAAACGCGTTGACAAGCACAAACAAACACCAGCCCCCCCCCCCAACCCGTATGGATGGGACTCGTTAAGAGAAGGCAAGCTCCGATATTAAGCCCTGGGGTGGTGTCCCGGACACACCATGTCATTGACACGATGAAAACTTCGACAATTCTTTTCGACGTGGAACGCACGAAACGCACAGTGTGACACAAGAAACACGGCTGGCCTCCCAGTGCATCCTGGTCACACTTCTGGCCATCAGTGCATCCTGGTCCCACTCCTGGCCATCCATTGAATCATGAACACACTGCTGGCCATCCAGTGCATCCTGGTCACACTGCTGGCCATCCAGTGCATCCTGGTCATACTGCTGGCCATCCAGTGCATCCTGGTCAAACTGCTGGTCATAAAGTGCATCCTGGTCATACTGCTGGCCATCCAGTGCATCCTGGTCATACTGCTGGCCATCCAGTGCATCCTGGTCATACTGCTGGCCATCAGTGCATTCTGGTCACACATCTGGCCATCATTGCATACTGGTCATACTGCTGGCCATCAAGTGCATCCAGGTCATACTGCTGGCCATCCAGTACATCCTGGTCATACTGTTTGCCATCCGGTGCATCCTGGTCTATATCTAGTCGACTTGACTTTCCATTGGAGGAAATTGACAAGGGCGCAAAGGGTGAAGCTGGCGAACTGAACGACTTTCCTTCACTTTAAACAAAATACATCTTAAGGCAAAGCTGCTACTCAAGTTGAAGAAAAACGACACCCAAGCTATTGGAGGTCAGATGACAATCTGCTCACTGAATCACAGACAGATCAACGCAACAGCAGGCAGGATCAACAGAACCGTGGGCAAAATAAGGCCCTGAGACAAAATGAACCTAGCCAAATAGAGAACACAAACAGCCACAAACAGAATCAACCGATCCATAGAGAAATCAACACAGCACCAGACAGAATCAGCCCCGTCAGCAACCTCTCCTTTCTCTCAAAAATCATAGAAAAACTCATACTCTCTCAGCTCTCTGGCTATCTTCATTCTCGCAATCTCTATCCTTCCTCTCAGTCCGCCTACCGACTTGGTCATAGCACAGAAACAGCACTGGTCCGAGTCATGAGTGACCTCCTGCGCGCGATGGATGATGGCAAACTCTCTATTCTCACTCTGTTAGATCTCTCTGCTGCATTTGATACCATTGACCACCAGATTCTTCTTGACCGCCTTCATCTTTCTTTCGGACTTACTGGCTCAGCTTTAAACTGGTTTCAATCATAT